TTAGTAGAGATGGGATTTCACCATGTTGACCAGGATGGTCAACATGGTGAAATCCCATCTCTACTAAAAATACAAAACATTAGCTGGGCATGGTGGCGCGTGCCTGTAATCCCAGCTACTGAGGAGGCTGAGGCAGGAGAATTGCCTGAACCCAGGAGGTGGAGGTTGCCGTGAGCCGAGATCACGCCATTGCACTCCAGCCTGGGTAACAAGAGCGAAACTCCGTCTCAAAAAAAGATCTAATACCCCTGGCTGGGCACAGTGGCTCACACCTGTAATCCCAGCACTTTGGGAAGCCAAGATGGGCAAATCCTGTGAGCTCAGGAGTTCAAGACCAGCCTAGACAACATGGTGAAACCCCATCTCCACTAAAAATACAAAAATTAGCCAGGCATGGTAGTGTACACCTATAGTCCCAGCTACTTGGGAGGCTGAGAAGATGGCTTCAGGCCAGGAGGTGGAGGTTGTAGTGAGCTGAGATCATGCCACTGCACTCTAGCCTAGGTGACAGAGCCAGGCACTGTCTCAAAAAAATAAATAAATAAAAAAGAGATCTAGTACCCCTTCATCCCTTGAGAATTTGATGAAAGCCAGTATTCTTGACAACCAACCCAAAAAGCTGACATTATTATTGTCCCATGTTCTCGTAATTCCTCATATGAAGTATTGTACTTATCTCAGTTAATAATAACCGTACCCTTTCAGATCCTCAGGCTTACAAACAGAAGTCACCCCTGACTTATCTTTCTCAGATCCTACATCCCATTTTTCAATAATACTATTAATTTGACCTTCAAAATACTATCCTGTGCAATCACCCTGGTCTCAAGCAGCGTCATTCTTGCCTGGATTATTGCAACCACCTCCTAGGTGATGGATCTCCTTGCTTCTACTTTGACTCTTTTTTTTTTTTTTGAGACAGAGTCTCACTCTGTCGCCCAGGCTGGAGGGCAGTGGCGTGGTCTTGGCTCACTGCAACCTCTACGTCCTGGGTTCAGGTGATTCTCCTGCCTCAGCCTCCTTAGTAGCTGGGACTATAGGCATGTGCCACCATGCCTGGCTAATTTTTTTGTATTTTTAGTAGAGACGGGGTTTCACCATCTTGCCTAGGCTAGTCTCAAACGCTTGACCTCATGATCCACCCACCTCAGCCTCCCAAAGTGCTGGGATTACAGATGTGAGTCACTGTGCCTGGCCTACCTTGACTCTTTATGGTCTATTCTCAATACCAAATAGGCAGAGCAATCCTACTAAGATCTAAATCAAATGTCACTTCTGGTGCTTGAAACAATCAGATGGCACTCCATGAAACTCAGTAAAAGCTCAAGTCCCTATAATGGTCTCTGAGGCCCTATGTGATGTGGACCCTACCTCTGGCACTTATCTCTTACTAACTCATGAATAGCTCACTCTCCTAGTAACAAACAGGCTGGCATACTTCTCTCTCAGGTGTTTATACTGGCTGTTCCCACTACCTGGAATCTTTTCTCTCTGGATATTCACATTACTCATCAGTTTCTTCAAGTGTTGGCTCAGCTGCTGACTTCTCTGTGAGGCCTATATAAACTATTCTCCCTGCTCCAACCACGGACCCTCTTCTCCCCCTGTCCTGCTCTATTTTTTCTACAGCATGTATTACAATCTAACATACTATATACTTTACTTACTCAAGATGTTTATTGTTGTCTTCATACTAGAAAAAAGCTCCACAAAACATTTATTCATTAATGTATCCTCAGAGCCTGGTAAACAGTCGGAATAAATGCTTACTGAATGATGAACAGATATGAGAAGGAAACTGAAGCCCGGAGGGGTAAATCATTCACTTAAGGACCTAAAACTAGCAGAGCTGGGACTCAGGGAACCAACTACTGTTCTTAACCAGTATCCTCTCCTGCCCAACCCTATATTACTCTGCTGTGTTTGCCATCCAACCATACTGTCATTCTTTTGTCATTTACTTGTTCATCAAATATCTGAGCCCCTACTATGTTTCATGCACTATGATTTGACAATAACATAATGAACACCAATCTGTGATACGTATGCTAAGGAGAAGGAAATATGTGGTGCTCTGAGAGTGTGCAACAGGGAGACTTAACCCAGTCTGCAGGGGACAGGAAAGACTTCCTTTTAAGGCAGTGCCATTTCAAATTTATGTTAAAGGAGTTTACCATATGAAATAGGCAGGGAGATTTCTGAGCTGAGAGTTCTGTAAATAGTGGAAGAAAACAAAAGAGCCCATGGGAGTAATTTAAAGAAGAAAGTGTGGTTGGAAGGGAATGCGGTGTGAGAAGAAGCTGGAGAAATTGCCAGAAGGACTGTGTCTTCATCAGAAGGGTGATTAATTTCTACTGGGTCCAGATTGCTTGGATTCAACCTCATCTTCCCTATTTGAATGATACTCGCCTGCCCACGCGAGGACGCACGAGGCCATGGGACTTGATGAAGACACAGTCGCCAACCTTCAGCCACATGTCATTGTAATGGAGCTGCTCAAAGTAGTGGCAACCTGGTTCACCATTGGACATTTCCACAGGGACATCTTCTTTTTCCTGTTGTAAAGAAAACTGGCTGAAGAAAGGTAGCTGATAATCAAGAAATAGAGAAGGTAAGAAAGGAAAGCAGACATTCTTTCACATTAACTAAAAAGAAAAAACAACTATTGGTTAGGTGCAACAGCTTACATCTATAATCTCAGCATTTTGGGAGGTCAAGGCAGGAGAATTGCTCGAGCCCAAGTGTTTGAGACCAGTTTGGGCAACACAGTGAGACCCTATCTCAACTAAAAAGAGAAATTAAAAAATTAATCAGGCACGGTAGCGCACACCTGTAGTCCCAGCTACTTAGGAGACTGTGTTGGGTAGATCACTTGAGCTTGGGAGGTCAAGGTTGCAGTGAGCTAGGATAACACCACTGTACTCCAGCCTGGGTGACAGAACAAGACCCTGTCACACACACAAAAAAGTAAATTAAAACAAAAAAACACATAAATAGAAACTTTGAAGGAGGCTAGGAAACCAAAAAATTAGATTGTTGAAATAAACTAAGTCTTATCAAGTATCTATTTTACATTTCTAGTTAATTTTCCTAAAATATTATCCCAAGATGTTTTTATCCTGTCTTTCTCCTGTCTTCAATTCCCACAGCCTTTAGGAAAAAAAAAAAACTGGAGAGGATTTATCAGTATTTAAAAGCAGACTCATTAATGCATTACTAGAGTATAAGGCACAAATTCTACACATGCTTCCTTTCTATCACATTTACTGAGTTCCCTTAATGTCTTAACATTAACAATTGATAGACTTAGGCCAGGCATAGTGGCTCATGTCATAACCCCTACACTCTGGGAGGCCAAGGTGGAAGGACTGCTTGAGCCCAAGGAGTTCAAGACTAGCCTGGGCAATATACTGAGACCTCATTTCCAAAAAATTTTAAAAATTAGTTGCCCTTGGTGACATGCACCTGTATTCACAGCTACTTAGGAGGCTGAGGTGGAAAGACTGCTTGGACCTGGGAATCAGAGTTTGCAGGGAACAGAGGCTGTACCACTGAACTCCAGCTTGGGAAACAAAGTAAGACCCTGTCTCAAAAAAAAGAAACCATAAAAAACAACTGATAGATTTAAAATGTTTACTATTTTGATTTGTTCCAACAAGGAAAGGAATAGCATAGCCTCTGTGACATAAACACACTCTGTTATTTAATAAATTACGGCATCTGTTACCTACTGACTGCTATAACCTTGGGCAAATTACCTGACCTCTTATGCCTTAGTTTCCTCATTTGTAAAATGAAGACAATGATAGTGTGGACACCAGACAGGATTGTTAGGAAGCTTAAGTGACATAATCCATGCTCAAGTACATAGAAAAATGCTTGACTCATAACAACCACTTAACAGACATAATTATTTTTGTTGTTTTATAGTCCTGACTAAAAAAGAAAAAGCAAAAGGAAGATATTTCAACTAATGTAAATATGGTAAAGAAGAACCACCATTTACTGAGAACCTAACAGACAATGGGCACAGGGCGAGATGTTATAAATATATTAACTCCAAAACATACATAGCTGAGGGAACTCCAGTGACTCCAAGTTTCTATAGCATCTTCTGGTGAATATCTCAACTTCGCACTTAAAAAAAAAAACCCTCCAATGTCCCTCCAATGTCCAAGTAATTTAATATTCTGATTTTTATGACTTCAAATGTGATACTGAAGTGGTATTCTTGGAAAATCATTAAGAATGAGGGAACGCCGGGCACAGTGCTCACACCTGTAATCCCAGCACTCTGGAAGGCCAAGGCAGGCAGATCACTTGAGGCCAGGAGTTCGAGACCAGACTGGCCAACATGGTAAAACCCCATCTCTACTAAAGATACAACAAGTAGCCAGGAATGGTGGTGTGTGCCTCTAGCCCCAGGAACTCAGGAAACTGAGGCATAAGAATTGCTTGAACCCAGGAAGCAGAGGTTGCAGTGAGCCGAGATTGTGCCACTACATTTCAGCCTGGACAGACCTTGTCTCAAAAAAAAAAGAAATCAGAGAGGTTCCATATATATGATGGGAAAGGGTCATATGAGAGTGGAAGCTGTGAATAAAACAACCCATGAGATTAATAATACCTTTTCTTTTAAGGAATGGGTTCTACTCTAAAGTTATTATTGAAAGAAGTTCCAGCTGGGCACAGTGGCTCTGGCCTGTAATCCCAGCACTTTGGGAGGCCAAGGCAGGTGGATCACCTGAGGTCAGAAGTTCAAGATCAGCTTGATCAATACAGTAGAAACCCATCTCTACCAAAAAGACAAAAATTAGCTGGCCATGGTGGTATGTGCCTGTAGTACCAGCTACTCAAAGACAGTAGAATCACTTAAACCTGGGATGGGGAGGTTGCAATGCGTCGAAATCCCACCACTGCACTCCAGCCTGGGTGACAGACTGAGACTCCGTCTCAAAAAAAGAAAAGAGTTCCTGAATGACCTGTCTTGGTCATGTAATATTAAAATAAAGATATGAGACCACAAAGACCAAGTAACTCATATACAGAGAGTTCCTAGGGACTTCCAAATATCTAGGTTAATTATCATGCTGGCTTCCACTGATAATTTTTTTTTTTTTTTTTTTTTTTGAGACAGAGTCTTGTTCTGTTGCCCAGGCTGGAGTGCAGTGGTGTGATTTCAGCTCACTGCAACCTTCATCTCCCTGGTTCAAGTGTTTCTCCTGCCTCTCCCTCCCAAGTAGCTGGGATTAAAGGCGCCTGCCACCATGCTGCCCGCCTCAGCTTCCCAAAGTGCTGGGATTAAGGTGTGAGCCACGAGCCTGACCGGACAATTCTCATTTTAAAAGAAATTATTTTATGATTCCCACACAATCCCATACTGGTAAAATATTTAAAAAATCACATTCTTTCCCATGCTTCCTTTCTAACACAATACTGTTAGGACATTAAAATCGATGTTTTCTCTACGACACTAAGAATTCCATATTTTTCCAGTTTTCACATTAACAATTTTACAACTCTATCTTTCCTGACTTTATACATTTGTTTGAAATAATTAAAACATTAGAGCATGCAAAACTTAAAATATAAAAGTCTTTCCTGACCCAACCTCAGAAACAATCACCTGGTTTAGTATATAGTATATAGTTTTTTATGTTGTTTTCACATTGGTATATGTAAATTACTTTTTTTCCCCTTAAACCTGTAGCACCTGGTACAAGTAGAATCACATCCAAGTATTAACTAGGCTTAACTCTGTTTAGTTTTCAGGATCACATAAGACTGGGCACATTTATGGTTGTACGGCTACAGCCATATACTTTATTCCTTTCACTGGCTGCAGAGTATTACATTATATGATTGTATGACAACTCATTAAATTCTTTTTTTTTTTTTTTTTTTTTTTGAGATGGAGTTTCGCTCTGTCACCCAGGCTAGAGTGCAGTGGTGCATAATGGGCTCACTGAAACCTCTGCTGCCTGGGTTCAAGCGATTCTCCTGCCTCCGCCTCCTAAGCAGCTGGGATTACAGGCCTGTGCCACTATGCCCAGCTCATTTTTATATTTTCAGTAGATACGGGTCTTAACCTGACCTCAGGTAATCCGCCCACCTCGGCCTTCCAAGGTGCTGGGATCACAAGGGTGAGCAACTGTGTCCAGTCAGGGTTTATGCTTTTATAAATAGGTGATGTTGCCTCTTATTGAGAATCCTTTGGAGCACCTGTTTGAGTACTATCATTGGAGCACATTCTTTGGCATCAAACTGGTGGGTCAAAGACACCAATAGGGCTGGGTGCAGTGGCTCATGCCACTAATCCCAGCACTTTGGGAGGCCGGGGCAGGCGGTTCACCAGAGGTCAGGGATTTGTGACAAGCCTGGCCAACATGGTGAAACCCCGTCTCTACTAAAAATACAAAAATTAACTGAGTGTGGTGGTGCATGCCTGTAATCCCAGGTACTTAGGAAACCGAGGTGGCAGAATCACTTGAACCCAGGAGGCAGAGGTTGCAGTGAGCTGAGATCACGTCACTGTATTCCAGCCTGGGCAACAGCGAGACTCCATCTCAAAAAAAAAAAAAACAAAAGACACCAACAGGATAAAAGTGTGTATGGTCTTATCCTGTACCAGGCTATACGTATTATCAGTCTTTTCTTTTTTCTTTTTTTGAGACGGAGTCTTGCTCTGTTGCCAGGCTGGAGTGCAGTGGCACGATCCCAGCTCACTGCAACCTCTGTCTCCCAGGTTCAAGAGATTCTCCTGCTTCGGCTTCCCAAGTAGCTGGGACTATAGGTGCACGCCACCATGTCCAGCTAATTTTCGTAGTTTTTAGTAGAGACAGGGTTTCACCATGTTGTCCAGAATGGTCTTGATCTCTTGATCTTGTGATCTGCCCACCTCAGCGTCCCAAAGTGCTGAGATTACAGGCGTGAGCCACCTTGACTGGCCTATCAGCCTTTTCAACTCTTGCCATCCTGTCAGGCATTATACAATTATTATACATGTTTTCGGCTGCCTCCCTTCTGTAATTTATCTATTTGGGCCTCTGCTCACTCTGTAGTGCTACTTTCCCCACCAGATTCCAAAGAGTTCTTTGCATATTAGAAACAGTAGTCCCTAGACTGTTTCATTAAACTTATATTTTCAATCATAAATCAATAAAACAATCAATGGTTTTATATAATGCACAGAAATTGCTGTCTATTCCAAATTATTGAAAAAAATTATAGGTAAATAACCATTTTCTAAATTAAATAAAATTTAAAAATTTTTCTGTAGAGACAAGGTCTTGCTATGTTGCCCAGGGTGGTCTGAAACTCCTGGCTGCAACTGATCCACCCGCCTTGGCCTCCCAAAATGCTGGGATTACAGGCGTGCGACACTGTACCAGGCTTCAGTTTTGTTTTTTAACTGTAGTTTTATAAAATTGAATACATCTGGCAGGGCAAAGCTCTCTAATTTTTAAATTAAAAAAAAAAATACCTCAGTTCGCTGTCAAAGGGCAAAGCTCTCTTTCATGCCCTTTCCCCCCTTCTTTTCTGGTGACTGTCACATATTTATTCTAATAAGAATGCTAGAATAATTTTGTCAAGTTTCAAAAACAATTTATGCAAGTCTTTTATGTCCTTCGGTAAATTTTTTTCCTAGAGGTTCTATACATTCCTTGTTAAGGCTATTTCTTAATGTATTTTGTTGTTAGTGTGAATTGGATATTTTCTTCCATAAGATTTTTCTAACATTTGCTAAAGTATATTCAACACTTTCACTTTACTTTCAAAAGTCTTATTAGTTCATATAAGAAGACTGTTCATTTAATATATGGATTTTGAAATTTCTACTTGCTAAATTTTCTGTTTCCAAACCTTTCCAGTTCATTTCCCCTAATTATTTGCAAAAAAGTCTCGCTCTGTTGCCCAGGCTGGAGTGCTCTGTTGCCCCTCCTGGGCTCATGAGATACCCCCACCTCAGCCCTCCAAGTAGTTGGGTGTACAAGCGTGTGCTACCATGCCTGGCTAATTTTCACATTTTTTATAGAGACGATCCTAGGTTAGTCTCAAAATCCTGGACTCGAGTGATCCACCTGCCTTGGCCTCCCAAAGTGCTAGGATTTTGGGCTATTTGGGCCTCTGCTCATTTTTGTAGTACTGAGTGTGCACCACACACTTTTTGTAGTGTACAGGTGTGAACCACCACACCTGTCCTCTTGCTTCTTTATTGTCAATATTTTTACTGCTTTTGTTTATCTAACTACATTGGCTAACTTCAGAAAAATATTAAGTAACAGTAGGACAGCAAGCTGCTTTGTCCAGTGTGCAACTTTAAAAAGGAATTTGTTTTATGGGCTTTAGGCTTGAGACACAAATATGAATTTTTTAAAAATCACACTTGAGGAAATACCTATTGAAACACTTTTAAAAAATCAAGATGCATTCTTCACCAAATAATTTTTCCTTCATCTAATGAAATAATAAATGAAATTCAAAGATTTTCCTAACTTTGAACAGTTCTTGAATCCTTAGAATAAACTCCCACTTCTTGATTATGTTGTTCTCAAAGAAGTAATTTCATTTCACTTACTTTTTTTCCCCAAGTAATTCTGGCATCAATATATATGAATAAGACTGAGTTGCAGTTTTTTGTTTCCATTTTTCATGATGTGGAATCAAGATTATTGTGGCTTTGCAAAACAAACTGGAAATTTCTTGTTCTCCATGCTGTGAAACAGTTTAAACAGCATAATAATCATAGGACCCTTAAAAAAAAAAGTCACCTACCTGTAATCCAAGCACTTTGGGAGGCCAAGACAGGCAGATCATGAGGTCAAGAGACCGAGACCATCCTGGCCAACATGATGAAACCCCTTTTCTACTAAAAATACAAAAATTAGCTGAGCGTGGTGGCATGGGTCTGTAGTCCCAGCTACTTGGGAGGCTGAGACAGGAGAATCGCCTGAACCCAGGAGGTGGAGGTTGCAGTGAGCTGAGATCACACCACTGTACTCCAGCTTGGCAAAAGGGTGATACTCCATCTCAAAAAAAAAAAAAAAAAGAAAGAAAGAAAGAAAAAAGAAAAAGCCACCTATGGAACTGTCTGACCTCAGTACTCTTTGGAGTCAGTTCTATGATACTTAAAAAAATTTCTTCATGATGTTGTACATTTCTGTATTGTATCTCTTCTTGATTCCATTTTGGTAATTTGTAATATCCTAGACCATCAGCCATTTATTCAGATTTTCAAACATACTAGCAGAAATGTACAGTCTTTATATTTCTTCCACATTGACTGACTGACTGAGATGGAGTTTCACTCTTGTGGCCCAAGGTGGAGTGCAATGGTGCAATCTTGGCTCACTGCAACCTCCACTTCCCGGGCTTAAGCAATTCTCTTGCCTCAGCCTCCCAAGTAGCTGGGATTACAGCTGCCTGCCACCACACCCAGCTAATTTTTTGTATTTTTAGTAGAGATGGAGTTTCATCATGTTGGCCAGGCTGGTCTCGAATTCCTGACCTCAGGTGATCCACCCACCTTGGCCTCCCAAAGTGCTAGGATTACAGGTGTGAGCCACCTTCCCTGGCCTTCTTCCACATTTTATGTCTGAGCTGAACCCTATTCTTTTCTCATTATTCGATAGGTGGCAGTTTATCTCACTGGACTTGGAAAATAGCTCTTAGATTTACCTTTAAATTATTATTTTTTTTGCCCAGGCTGGAGTGTAATGGCACGATCTCGGCTCACTGCAACTTTCACGTCCCGGATTCAAACAATTCTTCTGCCTCAGCCTCTGGAGTGGCTGGGATTACAGGCATGTGCCACCACGCCTGGTTGCTTTTTGTAGTTTTTTAAGTAGAGACAGGGTTTCACCATGTTGGCCAGGCTGGTCTTGATCTCCTGACCCAGTGACCTGCCCACCTCAAACTCCTAAAGTACTGGGATTACAGGCATGAGCCACCATGCCCGGCTTCCTTTTTTTTTTTTTTTTTTGAGATGGAGTCTCACTCTGTCGCCCAGGCTGGAGTGTAGTGGCATGGTCTTGGCTCACTGCAGCTTCCACCTCCAAGGTTCAAGTGATTCTCCCGCCTCAACCTCCCAAGTAGCTAAGATTACAGGCACGCGCCACCATGCCCAGCTTATTTTTATATTTTTAGTAGAGATGGGTTTTCACCATGTTGGCCAGGCTGGTCTCGAACTCCTGACCTCAGGTGATCTGCCTGTCTCAGCCTCCCAAAGTGAGAGGATTAGAGGCATGAGCCAATGCAACACAGCCTGATTTCCTTTTAAATTCTAATGTACTGTTTTCAAAGTGTAAATTTCTTTTTGTTATGGTTTCCTTCTTTCTGTTTGCTTAAGGTTTTGTGTTGTTACTCTTTCTAATTCGGAGTTTGAATACTTTATTCATTTATTTTCTGGAATAGATATTTTGAGATGTAATTTTTTTTTCTGTGTGGCTATTTTCTGCATACCTTTTCCAGTTTTAGTATATGTGCTGCCAAAGGGAGCACCTGCATACCTTTTCCAAGTTAAAATTGTCTTCTGCTCGACTGTCCTCTGAGTTGTCTGTATTCTTCTCATCATCACCTTTATCTGCATTTGCAAATACAGAGGCCACGCGAACCACAGGCAGAGGCACATCCCGAGGGACAAACCTAACTGAGCTGATGGGCATGGTCCACAGTTTAATTTTCTTAAAAGATTTGGTTTTGGCAGAATACCGTGATTCACAGACAAAAACATCTTCATCTCGGAAGTTTTCTGGGCATAATTTAAAGTATTCCTGGGGGGTGGGGGAGACAAGAATAAAACTAATTAGGTGGATTTACTGAAAAACAATCAGAGAAAAAAAAAGAAAAAAGCAAATAACGAACCACACAAACAAAAGCTAAACTGATCAGACTTTCTGTCAGTTAACAAAAAATAATAAATGACTAGAGATTTAGAAGTATTTCCTTGGCTACAGAATAGGCTTATTAGATACAAATTCTTTAAATTATAAAAACAAATAATTCCATTTAGCTTACAATTGCTCTTTTAAAATGTAGGAACATTTCATATAGCTATAATGTTCCTTAAAGCTTTGAAGAGGGATCATGTGTTTGTATCAGACATATACACAAAAAGCACACATAATTAGCTACAAACCAAACTGAAAATTTGTAATGATTATCTTTCAAAAAAACATCATACTTAAAAATTAGCCTGGCAATATTAAAAACTTAACCTAATTGCATTATAGCCAAATAGTGTAAGCAGCAAGTCATCTTTCATAACCATGTTCAGTTTAATTTCTTCCCAAATCATTACATTTAGCTATATAGACACTGCTTAAAAAATAGTTTAAAACAGAATTCCTAATTTTGTAAATATCAGTATTTTCTGTGTTTTAAAATTTTATTCCTAGGGAATGAGTGATACTTTTGGGTTTAATGAGTTTCTTACCTTGACAAACATGACCACACACTTGCCTAGAATTTTACTAACGGGAACTTTGTTGTAATAGTCACTCTTAAAAACTTCTTTTTCCAGAAATTTTCGTGTAGCCAGGTGGAATGTTTCATTTGGTCGGTAAAACCAACAGCCATACAACCATTTTTCACCTCAAAAATGGGGAGTGAGGGAGGGGGAAGAGAAAGAGAATCATTGTTAACAGAAATCACTTTTTTTTTTTTTTTTAAAGAGACAGCGCCTCACTATGTTGCCCAAGCTGAATTTGAATTCCTGAGCCAAAGTGGTCCTCCAACCTCAGCCTCCTGAGTAGCTGGGACTACAAGTGTGTATCACTGTTGCCAGCTCAGAAATCACATATTCTTTGCAAAATTAGGAAATACACCATCAATCCATTCTGCCATGACCTGAACCTAGCACTGTGCTTATTATGCTACAGTTTCTTAATATAATTATCTATAGGAGAAATAATACTCTAAAATAATAAAGTGCAATGAGACCTAAAAAATGCATGCTTTCTCCTCTCTCTATATATATTATGCATCCATAACCTCTTGGGCTCAAGTGATCTTCCTGCCTCAGCCTCTCAAGTTGCTGGGACCACAAGCAAATGCCACCATGCCCTGCTAATTTTCTCAACTTTTATAGAGAAGGGATCTTGCCATATTGCCCGGGTTCTTCTTCATATTAAAAGCCGTATAAAATATATAATGAGGAGGACAGGTGATGAGACCTGCTCCACTCAGTTCTGGTTAGTACTTACCTAGAGTTGTGCACTTTAGTAAGGATATAGAGATACTACTGAAGGACATATTTAGCTCTCTGGTGAAGGAATACAAAAATATTTCATGTAATAGGCAGCTCAAAGAACTGGACTGCCTGCATCACATTTCCACCAGCTTTTGGCTTCATTAACTTCTATTCATACTCCAGTTTTCAATTTACAGGCAATTGTTCTGGAAAGCCTTTTTGAAAACAAATTCTAAGCCAAGGCACATCATTCTATAATAATTTCTTTTTTATTCATAATCTTCCTTACTAGAGTAGTTTTGCAGGGGAAAAAACATGAGCTTTTTGTTCTTCTGAATCTCTGTCATTCTACCTAAAGTTTGACTCAAAATATGTTTTCAGTAAGTATCAATTGAATGAATGAATCTCAACCAGACTTTAAGAAGTTGTGTTTCTTTTGACTCAATTGTGATACTTGCCCAATAGGTCCTATGTTTTTCATATGATAGGTGCTTGCTAACATTTATTGATATATTGAACAATTATTATGGAAAGGCATAAAAAGTCTGAGTTAAAATTTTCTTCCCTGAGGAGCAAGGAGGAGTCAAATACTCATATCTCACTAAATTGTTCTTTGATTTAAAACAATCTTACCAGCTGAATCCTCCCATAGTCTTTCAATACAGACTATATGTGGCTGTAGGTTGGCCTCTGCGGGTTCCACATAGACATAATCTCCAACATGGTACATGCTGTTCTTAAAGCTACAGTCCTGGCTGTATGTGCGATGTAAGCCTGAGAGGCCTGCAGCACCAGAGGAATCTTCACTCTTTTCAGCTTCTTAGGTAAATAAATAAATAAATAAATAATAAGTAAGTAAGTAAGTAAGTAAATAAATAAATGAAAAAGGTACTCCAAAAAGGGATGCTGGAGTCAGATGTAGGATTCAAACAACACATGCTAATAATACATTTAATTCCATTTGCAACATTCAAGGCAGGAATCAGCAATAGTATGATCTTCACATTCCAAATAGCCCCTACCCAAAATTGTATTTCTGAATTACAGCCACCATTAATTTAAATGAATATATAAGTATACAAAGGATGTATAGAATAAAAACATCACCTTACTAATATATGATCATGGGGTCATTTTGGGTAACATTGAAAGGCACAAAGAAGCACATATGTCATCTCAAATTAATTCTAGAGATAATCTCTGATATACTTCATCTCCACTTTAATACTTCTGAATGTGTTTCATTTCACAACAGTTATTATATGAATATGACACATTTAACGTAGTCTTAGAATTGAAGAAATATAGAATACATATATTCTACAATATACTATAAACTACATATATTTAATATATCATGAACACTTGTCCTGAGAGAAAATGCTTTTCAAAGTGTCTTTTATTTTTGCTAAGTAAAACTTATTAATAGTTCCAGTACAAGCTATCATTTGCAAATATCATAGGGTTTTTATTGAGGATAAAGCTTTGCCCAAATCTTTGATTACTTCCTTAGGTTAACTTCCCATAAATGGAAGAGCTAAGAATAAGCATTTTAAATGTTATTTATTTATTCTTCTGAAACAACATTAAATGCCTTTTTTCTTTTTCTTTTTGTAGATGAAATCTCACTCTGTCACCCAGCCTGGAGTGCAGTGGTGCAATCTCAGCTCATTGCAACCTCCCATGTTCAAAGATATTCTCCTGGCTCAGCCTCCCTAGTATAACTGGGACTACAGGCCCACACCACTAGGCCTAGCTCATTTTTTGTATTTAGAAGAGACAGGGACATGGCCAGGCTCGTCTTGAACTCCTGACCTCAAGTGATCTGCCCGCCTCGGCCTCCTAAAGCACGGGGATTTACAGAGTGAGCCACCGGGCCTGGCTATCTAAATTTTAAAATAGTTTTTCTAGTACTGTAAAGAATGTTATTGGTAATTTGATAGGATTAGCACTGAATCTGTAAATTGCTTTGGGCAGGATGGCCATTTTAAGGATATTGATTCTTTGTATCCGAGGGCATGGAATATCTTTTCATTTGTTTTTGTCATCTCTGATTTCTTTGAGCAGTGAGTAATTCTCATTGTGGGGATCTTTCGCCTCCTTGGTTAGCTGTATTTCTAGGTATTTTATTCTTTTTGTGGCAATTGTGAATGAGATTGCGTTCCCGATTTGGCTCTTGGCTTGGCTGCTGTTGGTGTATAAGAATGCTAGTGATTTTTGTACACTGATCGTGTATCCTGACACTTTGCTGAAGTTGTTTATCAGCTGAGGGAACTTTTGGGCTGAAACTATGGGGTTTATTAGATACAGAATTATGTCATCTGCAAACATGGATTGTTTGACTTCCCTTCTTCCTATTTGAATGCCCTTCATTTCTCTCTCTTACCTAACTGCCCTGGCGCGGACTTCCAATACTGTGTTGAATAGGAGTGGTGGAAGAGAGCATTCTCGTCTTGTGACAGTTTTCAAAGGAAATGTTTCCAGCTTTTGGTCATTTCAATATGGTGTTGGGGATGGCTATGTAATAGATGGCTCTTAATATTTTGAAGTATGTTCCTTTAATACCTAGTTTAGAGTTTTTAACACGTCAAAAGCCTTTCTACCTATTGAAATAATGTCGATTTTGTCTTTAGTTCTGTTTGTTTTGTTTTAGATAGTCTTGCTCTGATGCCCAGGCTGGAGTGTAGTGGTACCATCTCGGTTCACTGCAAACTGTACCTCCCAGGTTCAAGCAATTCTCCTGCCTCAGCCTCCTGAATAGCTGGGATTACAGGCACCCACCACAATGCCTGGCTAATTTTTGTATTTTTAGTAGACACGGGGTTTCACCATCACGGCCAGGCTGATCTTGAACCCCTGACCTCATGATCCACCTGCCTTGGCTTCGCAAGGTGCTGGGATTACAGGCGTGGCTTTATTTTTTTTTGAGACAGAGTTTCGTTCTGTCGCCCAGGCTGGAGTGCAGTGGTGCGATCCTGGCTCACCATAGTCTCTGCCTGTGGGGTTCAAGTGACTTTCCTGCTTCAGCCTCCTGAATAGCTGGGACTACAGGTGCACACCACCACATCTGGCTAATTTTTTTTATTTTTAGTAGAGATGGGGTTTCACCATTGGCCAGGTTGGACTTGAATTCCTGACCTCAGGTGATCTGCCCTCTTTGGCCTCCCAAAGGGCTGGGATTACAGGCATGAGCCACCACACCCGGCCATCTTTATTTCTTTTTATGTGATGAATCATATTTATTGATTTGCATCCTTGCATCGCAGGGATAAAGCCTACTTGGCCATGGTGGATTAGCTACTTGATGTGGTGCTGGATTTGTTTTGCTAGTTATTTTCTTGAGGATTTTTACATTAATGATCATCAAGGCTATTGGGCTAAAGTTTTTTCTGTTGTCTCTGCCAGGTTTGGTATCAAGATAATGCTGGACTCAAAGAATGAGTTGGGAGGAGTCCCTCTTCCTCAGTTTTTTGGAATAGTTTCAGTAGAAATGGTACCAGCTCTTCTTTGTGTATCTGCTAGAATTTGGCTGTGGATTTGCCTGGCCATGGGCCTTTTTTGGTTGGTAAGCTATACATTATTAATTCAATCTCAGAGCTTGTTATTGGTCTGTTCAGGGATCCAATTTCCTCCTGGTTTCAGTTTTGGAAGGGTGTATGTGTACAGGAATTTATCCATTTCTTCTAGATTTTCTAGTTTGTGTGCATAGAGGTGTTGATAATAGTCTCAATGGTTATCTGTATTTCTGAGGGGTCAGTGGCAACATCCGCTTTGTTGTTTCTAATTGTGTTTACTTGGATCTTGTCTCTTTTCTTATTAGTCTAGCTAGTGTGTCTATCTTACTAATTTTTTCAGAAACCAACTCCTAGATTTGTTCATCTTTTGAATGTTTTTTCCTGTCTCAGTCTCCTTCAGTTCAGCTCTGATTTTGATTACTTCTTTTTTTTCCTGCTAGCTTTGGGGTTAGTTTGCTCTTGCTTTTCTAGTTCTTTCTGTTATGAAGTTAGGTTAATGTGAGATCTTTCCAGCTTTTTTTCTTTTTTTTTCAAAAACAGTCTTGCGCAGTCACCCAAGCTGCAGCACAGTGGCACGATCTCAGCTCACTGCCACCTCTGCCTCCTGGGTTCAGGTGATTCCTGTGCCTCAGCCTCCAGAATAGCTGGGACTACAAGCATACACTGCCACAACTGGCTAAATTTTGTACTTTTAGTAGAGATTTTGCCATGTTGGCCAGGGTGGTCTCAAACTCCTAGCCTCAGGCAATCCACTCTTTGGCCTCCCAAAGTGCTTGGATTACAGGCGTGAGCCACTGTGCCTGGCCACTGACCTTTCTACCTTTTTGATATGGGTGTTTAATGTGATAAATTTCCCTCAACACTGCCTTAGCTGTGTCACAGAGATTCTGGTATGTTATGTCTTGTTTTCATTCGTTTCAAAGAACTTCCTGATTTCTACCTTAATTTCATCATTTACCCAAAAGTCATCAAGGAGCAGGTTGGTTAATTTCTATATAATTGTATGGTTTTCAGTGATTTTCTTAGTCTTGATTTCTATTTTTATTGTGTTGTGGTCAAAGAGAATGGTTGGTATAATTTTGCTTCTTCTGCATTTTTTAAGGATTGTTTTATTAAGGATTGTTAACACATAATATTTTTAACATATAACAAATATAATATTTTTAAGGATTGTTCAATTGTGTGATTGATTTTAGAGTATGTGCCATGTGGTAATAAGAAGAATGTATATTCTGTTGATTTTGGGTGGAGAGTTCTGTAGATGTCTATCAAGTCCATTTGGTCCAGTGTTGTGTTCAGTTCTGGAATATCATTGTAAATTTTCTGCTCTGATGGTCTAATACTGTCAGTGGGGTGTTAAAGTCTCCCAGTGTTGTGTGGGAGTTTTTTTTTTTTTTTTTTTTTTTAAGAGATGAGGTCCTGCTGTGTTACCCAGGATGGTCTTGAAAGCCTAGGCTCAAGCAATCCTCCTGCCCTGGCCTCCCACAGTGTTGGGGTTACAGGCGTGAGCCACTGTACCCGGACCTTTTTCTTTTTTATTGGGTGGGGGTGTAAGTCTCTCAGAAGGTGTCTAAGAACATGCTTTACAAGTCTGGGTACTTCTGTGCTGTGTACATATATCATTTAGGATAAGTCTTGTTGAACTGAACCCTTTACCATTAAGTGATGCCCTTCTTTGTTTTTTTTGGTTTTTGTTGGTTTAAAGTTTGTTTTGTCTGAAATTAGATTGCAACCCTTGCTTTTTTCTGTTTTCCCATTTGCTTGGCAGACTTTTCTCCATCTCTTTATTTTGAGTCTATGGGTGTCATATGGGTCTCATGGGATGAGAGATGGATCTCTTGGAAGACAGAATCCCATTAGACCTTGCTTATTTATCCAGCTTCCCACTCTTGTCTTTTAATTGGGGCATTTAGCCCATTTACATTCAAGGTCAGTATTGATGTGTGGATCGGATCTTGTCATTGTGCTGTTAGCTGGAAGCAATCTTGTTTGTATAGCTGCTTTATAGTGTCATTGGTCTATATACTTGTTTTTGTAGTGTCTGATAACAGTCTTTCCATATTTAGTGCTTCTTTTGGGAGCTATTGTAAGGCAGGTATAGTGCTAACAAATTTCCTCAGCATCTGCTTGAGGGAGAAGGACCTTATTTCTCCTCTGCTTATGAAGCTTGCTTTGGCTGGAAATTATTGGTTGGAATTTCTTTTCCTTAAAAATGTTGAATATAGGCCCCCAATCTCTTCTTGGCTTGCAGGGTTTTTGCTGACAGGTCCACTGTTAGCCTTTTAGACTTCCTTTGAAGGTGAC